GCGCGGACGAGGCCGAGGCCGAGGCCGGCGGGGGACGCGATGGTGGCCCCGGACTCTCGATGGGACAGCACTTGGAGAGAACAAATTCTAGGTCCGGGAGATGGTGGAGTTCCTCCTCCCCTGCGGGGCAGGAGGGCCGGGTTGCTATCGCTGCGTGCTGCGCCTGCTCCGCTCAAACGCAGGTTAAGTTATGGTCAGCCAATTAGAGTCCACGTGCGGCCTTAGCTGATGTTGGCCCAATAGTAGCGAGGACGTATGGGTGACATCATTAACCTTGGCCCGTAGTCTACGGTCTTAGTGGTCCCGGTCTTAGTCTTGGTTGGAGAGGATGGCCCACCTCTAAGGAGATAATGGTCTATTTATATGGGCGATGTCTAAAGGGTGGTACCAATAATCTTAAGCTTTTGTTTATCTTAGGGAAGTATGTAAATCTGGCCATTGTGACTTTAATCTTCAGTTGCGCCTCTAGCCACAGCTGGGATGTTTTCTGGTCTTCTGCACTGACTCCCCCAAGGGCCTAGCCCCTTCTGGCTGCCTGTAGTATTTTTACCTACTTTAGCTGACTATAATACCGGTTCTTGGGAGGCTTAGACAGGAGGATCACCACCAGTTCAAGGTCAGCCTAGGCTACAAAGAGCGTTCAAGTCCAGCCTGAACTACACAGCAAGGCCCTGTCCTTCAATCATTGGCGTCTGGTGAATAATCTGCCCCCCACCCTGTCCTCCCACCTTCACCAGCTGAGCATTATTGTGTTTCCTTATATATCCTTTGCATGTTTTTGATTTCCTAGTATTGCATATTGTACACAAGCCCTTTGCCATGACCTATACCCCTAGGCCCAGTGTTCGGGGAGCTGAGGCAGGAGAATGGTCATGAGCTCAAGGCTGGCCTGGGCTCCATAGTGAGTTCGAGGTGTGACAAACTGAGGCCCTGTCCTTTCTAGCAAAGGATATAAACAGGAGCGCCTCCATCTTAGATTCTAGTCCACCTTAGGTGGCCCCTCCTGAACACACTGAAATTACCTGCTCAATTTAAATTCTGGAAACAGCTACAGACTAAGATAGCTTATCAAGAGCCAAGGACCTTCTCTGTTCCCTACACCCTCTCTCCTCCCACTCTTTGTGCCACTTAAACTAGCCAATCCAGATAGACTGTGAACCTTCAGCCAATGGGGAAAAAGATCAGCTGCCTTCCATGATTTAGGGCTTAAAATCCCAGCTTCCAGATGATCTGTGAGCACAGGTCCAAAGAACAGGATCAGACTGGCCCACCAACAGGAGTGGGGCTAGTTTATGGGGTGTTGTGTTGGTCCACTGTCTGTTTTAGAGACAGGGTCTTCCTAGGTAGCCCAGGCTGGCCTTGGATGCATTATGTAGCCCAGGCTGGCCTTGTTGGCCTTGAACTCAGCGGTGCTCCTGCTTTAGCCTCCTGAGTGCTGGGATTACAGGCGTGTGTCACCACGCCCAGCTGGGGTCTGGTTTATCATTATCTCAGCCCTGGTTTCATATCTCTGCAGGGATTCTTACAGCTTGAGGGGTAATTCATTCTCATGAGATGATTGTTTTTGCTTGGGGAGTGGGCAACCTAGGTATACATGATGCAGTCATTGCTCCCACTCATGGGGGGTGACTGCATCATGGGGTGGTCTTTGTAGGTTTACTTTCCCTAGAGCTATGATTGACCAGGTTTAGGGAAACAGACTAGGCATAGCTGAATGTCCCTGTAAATCACTTATCTTGGTGTCCCTCTTGGAAGGGGATGAGAGAGGTTATGTACATTTAAGGCTAATTGACTTTTCCAGCTTCAGACAGACAGCTACATAAGGAGCATGGGTGCATGAGACGCCAGAAGGGATTTAACACAGAGTCTTACAGAATGAAGATCACGCTTGGTTCTGCCTTCATTTACGTTTTGCACATCTACAGGTCCACCTTCTGGGCTCTGGTTGTCTCAGAAGAAAACACAAATCATCCTTTTTATGAGTAACAGGTTATGGGCCTGGGAGTTCATTTGTTCTCTGTCCCTGTGATGTAGCACATTTGGCTCTGTTCTGAGGAACACAGGGCCATTTTGATTGGGACCAGATCAAAACTAAGAGGGAAAAATTTTTCTCTGCTTTTGGACTCATTGTAAAATTTTCATTTGCCTCTTTTTCCTTTCTTTTATCCTTTTGATTTTTTCTCTCTCTCTCTCTCTCTCTCTCTCTCTCTCTCTCTCTCTCTCTCTTTTCAGTACTGGGAGTTGAACTCAGAACCTTGCACTGCACTTGCCAGGCAGGCGCAGTGCCAATGGGCTACATCCCTGACCCCATTTTTCTATTTTTATTTTCTCTATTATTTCTCCTTTGCCTCCCTTTCCCCATTTTATCTCCTATTTCTTATTGGTATTTGTGTTACCTTTATCTAATTCTATAAATATCTGTCTGTTCCATAATGGGATCCCTTGCCTCACTTCTCTTTCCTCCTCATTTCCCACTGTTGAATTTTTCAAAAATTTCCCTTTGTATTCTTCCATTCCAAAGCCACTGTAACTTTAATAGTATAACCATTAAGGTTTCTCAATCTTTAGATAGTTAACTCTATGTTACTACTGTTGAATTCTCTTTTTAGTGGAGGAAAAGGAAATCAAAAGCCACAGAGTCAAATTATTCAAAGGAATAGTAAAGGAGATTAAAATACAAATCAAACTGGGCATGGTGGCACATGCCTGTAATCCCAGCATTTAGGAGGCTGAGACAGGAGGATTACCATGAGTTCAAGGCCAGCCTGAGCTAATAGTAAGACCCTGTCTCAAAAATATAAAACAAAACAAAACAACAACAAAAAGGAAATTCTTGATTACCAAACCAACACTACAAAAAAATTCTCAAAGATATCCTACAAAGAGACAATGACATCAACAATGCAAAAAAAACTAATAGAATTGATACAGTAGACAGCGTGAGCAGTTAAGCAGAAAGGAGGGAGGGGAGGAAATCACAAACAAGAAAATAATGCAATGAGTAGAATAAATAAGTTCCTTTCAGTAGTAACTCTCAATGTGATTAATCGCAATTGTCCAATCAGAAGACGCAGGTTGGAAGAACAGATCAAGGGGAAAAAAAAAGAAAAACAACTGAACAATATGCAGTATACCAGAAACACATTTTATCCATAAAAGTTACATAGATTTTTAAAAATCAAAGGATGGAAAACAATATGCCAGTGCAACAGGAACCTGGAAAAAAAGAGGAGTAACTATCTTAATATTACACAACTTCAATTTCAAGCAAAAACTGATCAGAACAGACAAGGAAGGTTCTACATATTTGAAGGGAACAATTCAACAGGAAAATAACAATTATAAACATATATGCACCAAATGCTGCATGCCTACCTTCATAAAACAAATACTACTGGACATAAAAAAAAAAAACCCTGATAAACAGCAACTCAGTTATAAAGGGGACCTTAATACCCTACTGTCACAAATAGATCTACTAGACCAAAGTCAACAAAGAAATATCAAAGTTGAACCAAACCTTAGAACAAACGGCTCACCCACCAACAATAGAATACACATTCTTCTCAGTAGCATATGGGGTATTCTCCAAAATAGAAAACATGCTAGCTCATAAAACATACTTAAGTAAATGCCAAAAACTCAAAATAATCCCATGAACATTAATAGATCATAGTACAATAAAAGTAGAAATCAGTGGCAAAGAAACCACAGAATTATGCAAACATATCAAAATTAAATATCCTCTTGAATAATCAATGGGTCACAGAAAAAAAATCAAGGAAGAAATTAGAAAGCTTTTAAAATCAAATGATAATGACAGTACAGCCAGAACCAGTAGGACAGAATGTAAACAGTCCTAAGAAGGAAATTTATAACTGTGAATGCCCACATCAGAAAAACAGAGAGAGTCCAAATAAATAACTGTATGATCACAAGAACAATCAAAATCCAAATCTAGTAAAAGTAAAGAAAAATCAGAGAAATTAATGAAATTAAGACTAAAAAATACAATGCCAAAAAATAATAAGTTGAAGAGTTGGTTCTTTGGCAGAATGTACAAATAGGCAAACAAAATAGGCAACCTTACCAAAAAAGTAAAAGGGATTTAGCTCAGTGGTGCTGCTGCCTGCCTCGGAAGTGGAAGGTCCTGAGTTCAATCTGTGGTACAAAAAAAAAAAAGGAAAGACTCAAATCAACACAATTAGAAGTGAAAAAGATGTAATCACAATGACTCTGCTGAAACTCAGAAGGTTATTAACTACTGTGAGAACCTGTACTCTAGGTAAATGGAGAATTCAGAAG